CAGTCTGTTTCTCTCCCACCCCCACCAGGGGATGCCTATGAACACCTGAGTTAGTCACCTCCTTCCTGTGTTCAGAACTCTCCATGGCTTTCACTTAAAGTAGAAGCCAGAGTCTTTCCTGTAGCCCACCAGGTCTGAATGACCTGTCCCTTTCCCTCCCCACCCCCATTTCCACCTTCCTCTTGCTCACTCTGCTCCAGCCACACTGGCCTCCTCACTCTTCCTCTGCAGTTCTAAGCACACTTCTGCCTTTGCACAGGCTGTTCCCTCCACCTTACAACACTTTTCCACCAGATACCCACATGGCTCCGTCATTTAGACGTCTTTTCTCAGATGTGATCTTCTCAGGGAGACGGTCCCTGACCCTCTTCTTCACCCTATATCACATTTAAAGTTGAATCCCCTGCCCACTCCCTACCCCTTCCTCATCATTCTTTTTCTCCCCACCACTGTTGTCTCTCTCGCCCTCTAGAATGTCAGCTCCACAAGGACAGGGGTTTTTGTCTGCTCTCTGCTCTGTTCCCAGTGTCTAGATCAAGGCCTAGGACAAGATGGGTATCATGTAAATATTTGTGGAATTAATGAGTGAAGAACTGAATGGTACACATTAATGACAATTTGTACCTCCCATTTGTTAAGCGACTTTTCTGCCCTGGCCATAATGTGAGGCTTTTTTCTCCCTCAAGCTTTGAGAGGAGGAAACAGACCTGGAGGTCTGGAGCAATGCCCCGAGTCAATGGGCATGGAAGAGACAGGGCTTTGACACCCACATTGTTTCCCCCAACAGGAAAAGAAAAAAGCCCTGCAGGAGGAGGAGGAGAGGGACCAGGCACTGCAGGCTAAGGCGAGCCTGGCCATCCCTCTGGTGCCTGAGACAGAGGACGACCGCAGGCTGGCTGCCTTGCTCAAGTTCCATACCCTGGACTGTGCGTGGGGGCCGGAGGGCACAGGGGTCGGGATGGGGAGAGATGGGGGCTCCCAGCTGTGAGTGGACCATGGCAGACCCAGGCAGAGGGTGGTTCTGGACCTCTTTCCTCCCCTTCTCTTCCTCCCCCCAGCATATGAGGACAAGCAGAAACTCAAGCGGACAGAGATCATCAGCCGCTCCTGGTTCCCCTCGGCCTCAGGACCCAGCAACAGCAGCAAAGCAGGCAGCGTCCTGAAGAAGCTGGCCCAGAACCGCAAATCTGCACCTGCCGGTGCCCCCATCACTGTGGGGGGCCTGGGTATTGTGCGAAGGCAGTCCCGAGAGATCTCAGAGAGCCTGGAGCACGTTGTTGAGACCCCCAAGTCTGGGAAGCCACAGGTGTCAGAGGGCACCACTCAGGACAGGCTCACATCCCCACAAGACTGCTCTCAAGAGACAGCCAAGACCCCCAAGACAAGGGGACCTCAGGGGCAGGATGGGAGCTGTCAGGACAGGCTCCAGTCCTCATCAGGCTCCTACCAGGAGGCAGCCGTCCCCCAGGACATGCCACACCCCTGCATCCTCAGCTCCTCCCTTGTGGCTGACTACTCAGACTCAGAGAGTGAATGATTCCTGGGACTGGACCCCCTCTGGAGGCTGAGGCATACTCAGGAGGTCCCTCATAGACTGCAGCCTCGCTGGACCTCCAGCCCTCTGAGAGCTCAGACATCACCCCCTCCCCAGACCTTGCCTTCCTGCAGTGATGGAATTATTTATTTGGTCCTGGAGAGGGGGAGAGGGTGTGTGTGCCTTGTAGGACATCCCCCCTCCCCCAGACATTAAAGCTCTGCTTCTTTGCTGCTGCTTTGGGTTACTAGACGGGCCCAGGGGCTGCCCCTCTCCCCCACCCCACCATCCAACCAAGCTTGGTAGGCTTCTCATAGCAAATGGTGACGCAGGGACTAACCTGTGACCACAGCGATCGATGGTTCTCACCCAGGATGATGAGGGTTTCAAAGTAGTGGATCAGGTTGGTCTGCAATCAGAACAGATTTCCCAGAGGAGGTGATCAGGGCTGAGTGGGAAGGGTGAGAAGGGGACCAGGCAGCAGGAATCATGCAGGGGGCCCAAGGCTGGGGGGCACACGAGATGCCCATGCAGGTGTGAGCTGTTCATTGTCCCCAGCGTATAGGGACACCTTAGAAGGATCACTAAAAAGGCCCCAGTGTGTTGCTACTTTTTGGAGGAAACGTAAAATTGAGCAGAAAATAGCTCAAAACAGGCGCACATACAGCAGGAACTCAAAGCCTGTCACCTCCCCCTAAACCTTGGAAAAGGAAGATCATTTCACAAATGATGGAGCACTAGGAGTGTGCAAGGAAGGCACTGTCCTAGCCACCGGGGATACAGCAATGAACAAAACGCAGCCCTGTTGGGTCTGAGGTTCCAGCTGACTTCGTAATCAGGACACGGTGATAGCAGCAGCTGTCCCTAGTCCACCAGTTCTGCACCCCACAGGGGTGGTAAAGTCTCAGGGCAGCAGTTAGGGCCTTTCTCTACCTGAGGCCACCGGCAGCACTTGCTCTAGCCAGAGGGTGCCCACCTGGGATTTGGGGCTCATACTATGACCCCCTAACTGATCAGCCGGACGCTAAACACGGCCTGGCATCTAGGAGGTGCCACGCAAATGATAACACCTTTGTGGTTCCGATGCCAGCGGCTAATTGGCCGACCATGGCCTGGAATAAGTGGGTGGGATCCGCGGAGTGGACGGCGAGTCCCGGGAACCTGCGGGGCTGTGTGCGCACGCGCCTCCTTCCGGGGGAGGCCCCGCCCCACGTGCGCGTCGTTCGCTGCGCCAGGGGCCTTCGTGGAGCGCGTCGGCCGCGCCATGCCCTCTCTGGAGGCGATACGCTACTCGCGGGGCTCGCTGCAGATCCTCGACCAGCTGCTGCTGCCCGAGCAATGCCGCTACGAGGGGGTGGACTCGGTGCGCCAGGCCTGGGAAGCCATCCGCGCCATGAAGGTGGGGAGCAACGGCGAGGCTGGGGGTGGGGCGTGCCCTTGCCTGGCGCCCGTGACACCCCCATCCCTTCCCTCCAGGTGCGCGGCGCCCCTGCAATCGCGCTCGTGGGCTGCCTCAGCCTGGCGGTGGAGATGCAGGCCGGCGCCGGCGGGCC